TCCAGAAGGCCTGAAGCCATTCCCATCCCGGATATGAAAACGGAAACCATTTGCAGAGCCATCTTCAACTGTTGGATATCTCGTTTTGGCTGCCCATCGATCATAACAACAGACCAAGGTTCTCAAATGAGATCCGCACTTTTTGCAGAATTTACGCGCATTTTGGGTACGAACAGAATCACAACAACAGCCTATCATCCAATGTCCAACGGCATTGTTGAACGATTTCATCGACATTTAAAATCTTCTCTCAAGGCTCACGAGACCAATAACTGGACTGAAACACTACCAGTTGTTATGCTTGGCATTCGGACAGCCGTAAAGGAAGATCTACAGTCATCTTGTGCTGAACTGGTGTACGGCACAACTCTCAAGCTGCCTAGTGATATGATAACGTCATCTAAGATATCTCCGTATGACACACAATTTATCACGAATCTTAGGCATAGAATGCAACAATTGAATCCAATAGCAACATCTGCACATTGCCAAGAAAAATGTTACGTAAGTGCTACCTTAAAGTCGTGTACGCATTTATACTTACGTGTCGATCGAGTAAAGCCACCTCTGTGCCAACCATACACAGGTCCGCATAAAGTCCTTTCTAGAACGGACAAAACTTTCACAATTGATGTTAACGGTCTGAAATCTACTGTGTCTATAGACCGTGTGTGAAACCAGCCTATTTGCTTTCGGACTCTAATTTGCCTGAACTGAAAACAAATAAAGACTTAAAGACAGTTCAGCAGAATAAATCTGCAAACGAACTCTCTAAGACACAAACTGTCACCAGATCGGGAAGACATGTTCACTTCCCTAAGAAACTTGCTTCTTACATAACAATTTAAAACATTTTTTTTAAATTCATATCTTAACATATTTCTTGTTATTTCATGTTTATTATATGTGTCAATACCTTGTTATATATTGAATTGCATTTTGATCTTTTCTAATTTTATATTCTAATTTTGTAATCATGAAAAAAATACCCGACAGTACGGATACTCTGAGATAATTTCATAACCTATGTCGTTCCTTTGAATAGCCATTAAAGGAACTGGGGGGAAACTCTGTGGTGATGGCGATAAGGAGCGCGCCTTGCGCCCTCCGATAAGTGTGGCAACCCTAGAGGAGAAGCTTCTTACGAGTAGCGAGCAGAGCGAAACAGGCAGGCTGTCGGGGAGTATGCGCGATGTTCCTAAATTTAATTTATATTGTGCACTATGTCTTGTTAATATTATATTAATGCAGTAAGAACATAATCTGTGATATGGAATTCGAGGATTGGTGGTAAAAACATAACAGGAAATTTCCATACTCCCATTGCTGATATCATTAAATAAAATTTTTGTTAAACTATCTTTGTTTTGTTTACAGGTTAATTTTTAATTGTTGACAAGGGATGAGATCATTGGGTCCTATAACTATAGATTAATTTATGTATACTGAACTATTTACCATAAAGTTAGTATAGATTGTAGAGACATTAGGATTTTTTTTTTTTTTTGGAAGCAAGCAAGATGAAAAACTAGCAATGCCTTTGCCGGGAATCGAACCGTGGACCTCTCAATTAAGCACTGAGCATGCAGACCACTACACCATGAAGGCTCGCTAAGAAGGCAGGAGAAATACCTTATATACTTCCCTTTTAAAGAGCAACTGGGGTTTTTAGGGGACCCAATCGCCAAATCCTGGTTGGAGAGAATAATCATCTACCACCCTTTTAGTTCGGGTGCCACTGTAGAGACATTAGGATTTTTTTGGAAGCAGGTAATATGAAAATTGGCAACACCTTCGCCGGGAATCAAAATGCGCAGACCTCTCAATTACACGCTGAGCGTGCAGACCACTACACTACGAAGGCTCGCTAAGAAGACGAGAGAAATACCTTATAAGGTATTTAAAAGAGAAATCCAAGCTCTTAAATGCTGCATTGCAGTAAAAGTCTAAAGGATAATCACATAAGTAATTTAAATTCCTTCCTTGATGAAGATTGAATACTTAGGATTGGTGGTAGATAAAATAATCATCTCAGTTGTATGATCAAAAGTACCCAATACTGTTGCTCAAGGATTATAAATTAAGCATTTTAATTATGCAACACTTCCTAAACCTGAAATCACACAGCAATTTATAGTATTATTGCTGAAAGAAAGAGTTTCCGTTAGTCCCCCCTTTGCCGCAGCTGCATTAACTTATTAAGACCTTATAATATAAAACATAAACTTCAATAAAGAGGTACCTTAAATAAGGTATGCATTGTCATTTTTGCATGCACCTGAGCAATACATTTTGATTTTCTTAGATATCTAACAAAGCAAGCTGTAGTTGCAATGTTAAAAAGGTTTTTCACACAATATGACATTTGCTTGACTATATAGTCAGACAAGATATCAACTGCATCAGAGCCAATTCCTAAATGAAAAAGTTGCTAAGCCTCATTACAATTTCACCTTGTCAGTCATAATATTTAGTTTCTGAATCAATTGTTCAGAAATTCAGTCCATTGCTATTTTCCAACTTCGGCAATATTTATGAGGCTGGAAAGAAGTCTTTTGCGAATCATCTGAAATAAATTACCAGAAATGCAAAATTAACTCTTGAGAAATTTCTGACTGGCACAAATCATATTGAAAGTTCATTAAATAGTACACCGTTATTACCTTTATCTTCAGATCCCAATAATTTAACTTTGACCCCTGGTCCTTTTTTAGATTTTTTTAAATCAAACAACCCTTAATGCTACACTTGAAACTTACATTATAAAAATTTCTAATAACAGTCTTTCTCGTTGGCAGAAAATTGTTTAAATTAAGCAAATAATATGGAAGATATGGTGCAGAGATCATCTAAACAATCTTTAGAGAGAAGTAAATGGTTCTTTTAAAAGGAAAATATAAAAATAGGTACCCTTGTATTAATTAAATCAAGAGAATCAATTATCTTTATGCACTTGGATAGTAAGCATATCCATTATAGCATCAAGAGAAGTGATGATAATATACATGTTGTCATCAAAAACCCCCGAGGATTGATAAAACATGGGATTTCTAATACATGTATTTTGCCTATAAACGACTGATGTAATGAAATTGTATTATAGTTCACTGTATTACTTTTTGCATATTTCTTCTACTGTGTATAATTCAGTTCATTTTGTTTGTTTGTTGACCTGATATACTGATACATTCCATTGAATTGTTTAGAAATGGTATATTCTATTTAATTATTTAGAAATGGTATGGTCACCTACAGTAACCACCTTTTCTACTGAACATCTAACTCCCTTGTGTGAGCAGTTTTCAAGATTGGCTGTTTCTGAAGTTCCCTTGTAGCTCATTAGATGGCAACCAAGAAACATAAGCCAGTACTTGATGCAGCAATTAGTCTTCAAGAAAATAAGCATCAGGTGTCAAAGACAACATCACGAGGATGTGCACTCTGCAGAACCTACAAAAAACCTCTAAGAACAGTGTCGGAATGCAGCACATGCAAAGTTGCACTCTGCTTGGAAAAGAAAAACTGTTTACATGAGTATCATAGAGACTGATTTGTAGGGATGTGTTCTGTGGGCAGTGGTCATTTTTTCATGCGTCTTGAACAAAATATGTGTAATTGTTGCAAATAATTTCATTGTAACACCTGATATAGAAAATAAACAAGAGTTTTGCTGAAAAAGTTAATTGCCTTTCCCTGCCTCGCAAAGAGTTAAAGTCAACAAAAACATAAGAAGTTCATAAGCAGTGGAAGCAGATAATTTTGTCATTATTAAGAAGACAAAGGGAGTGACCATTATTCATATGCATCTGTTAGCTATGTGAATTAATATAACTGCCTTTCAAAAATGGATTCTGGCATTTTAATCATGGATAAAAAAGAGGTGGGTAGAAGTTGCTTTATAAGATATCCAAGTTTTGCTGATCAGCATATTCATTCAGAAGGTAAGGTGCACAGAACAAACAGCAATAAAATTTTTAATATTAATTGCTTCTGAAACAATCTGGCAACTGATTACATTTCTTATATTAATCTGTACTGTAACAGCTTAGAGATATATTGTCAGTGAGAGAAGGATAATCATGTACAACAAGAAGAGCAATAATTTCATTCATTTGACATTTTTTGACTGTCCAGCATTTTGACATCTTTGTACACCAGTCTGGTTTTCTTTAACGTAAAATTTACATGTGTATCTTACTCTGTTTTGCACACAAAAACTTAAATTCAACCTTAATTTCATCTAAAAATTTATTTTGTGGGTTTGACATTCAAGCAATAATCAAAGCTGCATTTTCATTCATATGTGAAAAATTGAAAATTTGTATCTAACATTGATTTTCTGAAGTTTGGTTTGATAAAAATAGTTTTGTTTTTCAGAAATATTTAAAGCAACTATAGTTTTTGTTAATGCTTTTATAAATTATTTTAATATAAATATACAATTTAAAGTGGCAGTAAAAAAAACTCCTTGATAACAATGTGTTAGCATCAAATTTTTTACATTCAGATTTCAGTCAACCAGTGTTTTTACTCTCAGTGTTGACTTTTCCTTTACTGACACACCAACATAAGAAACTCAGAATCTCAGTATACTTCACTGGCTGGCCAATCATTATGCACAAGAATTTTAAAATTCTCATAAATGATCATGGTTATTATATTTTATATGTGAGGAATGATTTTCTTCTTTATGGTTAATTTATTACAACATTTAAACCTTAATTAAAGATAATAATAAAAAAATATTTATAAAATAATGGTCAGTGAAACACAGTTTTTAATGGCATTTTTTACTCTGCATTCAGCCTATAGTAAAATCTTTGTAAGAGAATTCACTAATAGAAATGCTTAACACAGCACAAGCAAAAATTAAATTTTTTTCCTCCCACCTCAGCACAGCATAAACAGGAATTACGTAAACCTCCTGCAACTCAAATATTATATTAGAGAAAAGCACAAAAATTTTATCAATTAGAAACATGTAACAGAAAATAACAAACCTTCACTTGGTAAGAGTCAATTTTCTGGCAAAAGTTTGTAATAGCACAAGAAAACAGCATTATATTTTCTCTTATTCTGCATCTTAAACTAATATCTCTGTCAAAGGGAAAAAAAGGTTATTAAACTTTTACAATAAATGAAAGAAGATAAAAATGCTACTCTTTCATTTTTAGAAGCAAAGAATAAAACAAAATTTTATTAACAAGAAATAAAACAACACTTAAGACATGCTTATCTGATCGAGAAATGCATTCATTTCAATAATGCAGCTTGAGTTTATAAAACACACTGAGATACTAAACATACTGTAATTATATATAAAGATTTATGTAGGTTTGCTAATGATTAAAAGTAAAGAAAAATAACATATTTCAACAACTAAGAATTTTCCTTTTCAAATTTAATTTTTAATTTAAGAGGTGCACTGGAATACAAATATTTAGGAACTTACATATTGTGCTTAAATTCCTTAACAATAATCCAGCAAACGTCATATTTTAAATGTAAGTGCTCAACTCGATTAATTGTATTATGCAGAGTATTATTTTCACAAAATTCTGATTGGTCAACCAAAATTACTGCTGTTTTTTCATCAATTGTCACATCAGCAAAATAAATATGAGGCAAAATCTTCTTATACCTTTTTTCACACAATATTATATCAGACCTGGATAATAAATAAAGGAAAAGAGATTAAAATAAGTAATAGATAGCCTTATTATAGCAAAATAATAATTTGCTTTTATTGCTTAAATATTTTTCACATATTTCAGGCTGATGATTATAAAATGGGATGGGGGAGGGAGTTTTTATAGCAACTTTAAAATTAATTTAAATTTACTAGATAATGTTATGTAACTTACTTGGATTCAAGTGAATACAGAATTTCATTCTGTGCAGTGACAGCATCAGATACAAACAAAAGTATGGAACTCTTGAAAGAAATTATATTCTTATTTGCATCTATGAATATGAAAAAGATAACATTTTATTTTGCTTAAAAATGCATAACAACACTGGAAAATGATTAGAAATTAAAGAAAGATTATATTTAATCAAAATATAAAGAAAAGTTTGATGACGATAGTATATTTTATCAAAAGAAATGTATTAAATCATTAATAAAGAAATCATTAAGATAAAAATTAAACTTGCAAAACAAAAAGATAAATACATAATTAAAGGTAAAAAAACATTCATTTAATTAGTTATCAATCAATTTAGTTTTGGGGTTTAAGTACTTTGCTTACTTATTTACAATCACTTTTTTTTGAATCAAATGTGATTATAGGTCTTAGAAGTATAAGAGAAAAGCAAAGTATTTAAGGCCACAATTTTATTGAAATATCGTTCTATAAGGCATTATATTTAAGAGCAATAATTTCTGTCCTCTTTCTAAGAAATAAAGAATGTTAGTTGGGAAGGGAATTACATTACTTATTTCTTCTACAACCAGTACAAAAATAAAACTCAACTATAAAAAAAATAAAGAGTAGTGCAAGTAAATTTCTCATAGTTTTAGAAACATTAAAACATCTTTTAAAGTTAGATAATTTGCTGTTTCATGGAAGAAATAGAATTTAATTACTTAAATTAATATTCATATAAATTTACAGTAAAATAACAAAAATCTTAGGCAGGATATTTATTACAAGATAATTATGCTTATTTATAGAATTTATTTTACATCAGAAAATAGCAAATATTTTTTAAATATGCCAAAAACTGAAGGGAAAAGATCTTATTCTGTTATTAATGAATAATAACAGAATAAGAACTGCAATTTTTTAAATTTGTCTTTTCTTCAATGATAATAAATTTATCAACGTCAATAAACCATTTTCCTAATGAAATAATGAATAAAAAAGTATCTCATATTAGCAATACTTTTTCTCATACAATATCATATTTTAACAGCTGAAAAATTAACAGAATCATAATATTATAAATTAATATCAGAGGTACTCACTTAATGAGCACCTCTGATTACAAATGATTAGCATAAAGACAAAACAAAATGCAAAAAACAAGGCTCTCTTAATAAGCAATGTTTCCAAGTGACGTGGAAACATTGTGATATCGTATGCAGGATCATGTCTGCATTTCCGCTAGAAACTTTGGCCAGACATTATTGTCAAACACGACTCTAAAGAGTTTTAGCAAGTGATGAGGAGTGCATGTGGAGCCCATAATAAAAAAGATTATGTCTTTGGCCAAGATTATGAGGTGGATATCATGGATATAACAATGACAATGATGAACAAGTGGAAGACCATAATGAGAAGCTGGCCACTAAAGAATCTACACAGCTGCATTTTTTGTCCCACCAAGGAACTGTGGAGGAGATTTCATCTAGGGAGAAGGAAACAACAGCTTGGATAAATTAAATCTTACAGTGAAATAATAACAGAATTAAGTTCAGGGAGATGCTGAAAGCATGGGAAAGTGTTGCACCATATTTTGAGAAGCATCACTCTAATAAGTCAGTAGCTATGTGTGCTACAAATTTATTTAATGATAACATTATGTCTAATTTTTGTCGAATTCTGAAGCATAAGCAAATATGTAGTCTTTAGACAACATTCTTGTAAAAATGGATGTATTATAAATGATAAACAACATTGTTATAACTTGGTCTGAGTATTTTCTTTAGAATGAAACACATTGTCCTATGGCATTATTCTTGATTCCTATAGTAAAAATTATTTCACTTAGTGAGTGTTTCACATTACAAGTAAGATTATGAAACAATTTATTCTCATTACGTGAGATTCTATTGCATAGGTAGGAAATTACATGAAAAAGTTGGAACTATAGCTAAACCTCTTATCCATTTATAAATTAATAAAATACTTTACATTAATAATCACAGTACAAAGTCTGTAATCCGGACGTCCATTATCCCGAATGATCTATAATCCGGACCTCAAAGCCACAAACTTTTTACGCATGCACATTTAACACAAAAAAACGAAGCAAATTAAGCAACTTACATTGAAAGAAATGTTTAATAAAGTAAACAAATAAATATTAAGCTTTTTTTTTTTGCAAATTTTGATACCATTCAGATTATAATTGCTCTTTATTCCATAAATTATGGTTTCACATTTTTAATCGTATAATTTCTACATGCCATCTTACCAGATTTCAATTGATGATCTATAATCCAGAAAAACCTTTAATCCGGAATCGTCAAAGTCCCGACGAGTCCGAATTACGTACTTTGTATTGCATAAAAACACTAAGATTTTTGTAGAAAGTTATTGTATATTGCAATATATGTAATATTACCTTGAATTAAATTTAACTGCTTTATTTCTTGAAGAGTTTTAAGAGCAAGGGAACCAACTTTTACAAAAGCATGTTGAACTTGAAGTTCCTGACATATTCTTTTCCAGCATGAATTAACATCGTCTTCAAATTCAATAACGATTTGTAAGTCTTTCCAAGGTATATCATTTGATAAGGATGAAGAACTCACTATATAAACATAATTTCCATCTTTTCTAATAAAGAAAATAATGCAAGCAAAATCAGTAAAAGCACATTTGATAAAAAAAAAAATTAATAGATATTTTCAATAAAATGTATTTCTGAGAATATGTATCTATGTCTAAATTTTGTCAGTATTGCTAGTAAGTAACTGTTAAATTTTCTGAAGAATAAATATGTTTCATTGAATTTTATTCAACCTACTTTATAAGATAGTCGTTTTACTGCATATTAGGAACTGAAAAAGCTGCAGTGCTTGAATACATATTATAAATGGAAAACTGCAATTACACTTCTAACTACTGACCAAGACAAGTATAATTAAAAAGTGCCAATTTTTTTATTCCTAATAACATATTTGATTAAGAAGTAGATGAATAGAACATTTATTAAGCAGTATTTTAATTGTTAATTACACTTTTATCTGATTATTCACAGCATACTTTCAGCTCATTAATTACATTTCACTCAATCTTAAAAAAAATCAAAAATATAACTATAATTTCTATTTAACCTGATGTATTTCTAGCAATCCCAGTCAAACATAAGTATAAATGCCGAAAACTCCCTACATCCCATAATTGTTATTTTTTCAATGTCACTAATCAATGCAATCTAATTATAATAGTTTTTTTCTTTTTAATCATTGCAGTTATTTTTTTTTCTGACAAAAGAGTTTGCATACAAGACATCCCCTACCTACTTCATAGTACATACTCATCTCAGGCAAAAATTAATACTTTAAAATGGTGCTAAATGAATTACACTAGCAAAAATACTTCATGGAAATAAAAAGCAAGAAAAATACATATTTCGAAATTTTGAGAGGTAGAAATGTAATTTCAAATAATTATCATTTGCACTAAAAGACAAAAAAGACTAATATTGATATCCTATATGCCAAAAGATGTGTAATTATTTAATGACGCATGATGATGATTTCATACATGAAATTCACAGAACAAAAGAAACCTGACATAATAGTATTCCATCTACTCAATACAGAATATAAGGCAGATGGAAATTTCTGACTGGTTCAGGCTGTATTTATTAGATGATAGCTAAGCATACTAGGACATTTAAGCCAAGAGGAAGGATGTCTTCAAAGGTTACTTTCTAATGCAAATTCAAAATGTGTATTCACATTACATACATAGGTAGGCATGACAATACTTGCACAGCCAGCTCATTCACCACAAACTGAGTTACCAGCAGTATTCAGCAGTCTTATTTGCTAAGCATACTAGGACATTTAAGACAAGAGGAAGGATGTCTTCAAAGGTTACTTTCTAATGCAAATTCAAAATGTGTATTCACATTACATAGGCATGACAATACTTGCACAGCCAGCTCATTCACCACAAACTGAGTTACCAGCAGTATTCAGCAGTCTTATTTGCTTCTTTTTGAAGAACTTAGCTCTGCCTTTAGGATATCACAACTTAACTAACATTAAAATATGTTTTCAAAACTTACAAATAACCTAACAATCTGAAGAAAATATGTAGCCCTTTTGCAGAAAGACAAATCTGTTTAAGTAAAAGTTTTTTTTTTCTTCTGACTCTGAAATGAACGTAATAATACAGCACAACTTGTCTATGCAATAAATATATTTGGAAAGCCCATTAAAATTTATAAGCAAAGAAGTGCACACACACACACACACACACACACAAAAAAAAAAAAAGGAATGAACGAAAATCTACAAAAAGTATTCTCATTTTACCCTTCAGCAGAAAACTATTTAATTCAGTATAAAATATATTTAAATATTCATTGATAACAGACTTACAATTAACAAAGAAAATAAGGTTTATTATTATGGAGATTAAAATATTGATTTATAAATTAGATGCAAAAATATTTAAAATTACATTTGACAGTTTTGGAAAATAAATTCTATTTATAAATTGGATGAATACTTTTCTCAAATACTTATATCTATTTAAGATATGCATTTTATGCAGTGGGGGAAAAAAAAAAAAAAAAAGAAAAAGAAAAAACTGAAAATTTGTGACATGGTGAAATGTCTCAGAAAAAGTAAATAACAAATTTGGATAAACTGAATGAATCATGCAGCAAACAAATAAGAAGTAAAAAAATTGACACATCAGCAAAAAAATTATGCATAATATTTTTGGCCAACAGATGATACAATACGCAATGAAACATTTTAAACTTCAAAATGGAAAAATCTCTAATCTTTCCATAAATCAAAAAGAATATTCTAACGTGTTCAGTGTCTTCTGAGAAAATTAATCATAAAATACACTTTGTAACTTTAAGACTCATAAGTCCATAACATATAAAGCATATTACTGAAGTTATTAAAAAAGAAAAATCTCTATTAATTCCAAAATTACACATTTCATCTCATTTTTTAGTTAGCGATTATTGTGCTGTATGATTATGTATGCAATATGATTCAGAAGCATATGAAATTTAAGGATTCAGAAACAGCATAGACAAAGATAGTAAGTTGAAATTTTGATGTTGTAAGGCATTGCCATAATAATATTGATTTCAGGATTAACAGAAGTTCAAAACAAACTTTCAGTCCATTCTAAAACTACATACTTAACTTTACTACCTTAAATAACACAAATAGAATTATAGAATTACATTTACTTCCATTATTCAAAGGTGACAGTAAATATAAAACTCAATGTTTTTATGTTGTATAAAATTAACTTCTCCCACAAAAAATAAAATTACTTTATGAAAGCATTATGTAGCATTATGAAAAATACAAATACTGTACATATTTTTCTAAATACCAACCTCTGCTACTAAATGTTCAAAGTTAGCCAGTAGTGAGCATATATTTTCCACCAACACAGATTTTATTATTGTTATTTTGGGGCTAATTATTTGATTATGGCAAAAACAGATAGCTACATGCCAATGGGTAGGAATGTTTTTGTGAAAGGCACTCTTAAGGAAATTGCAGTGTATTTATGAAGCAAATGAGAGAAACCATGGAACCCTCATGCAATCAGCTATTTCCACCACACAGAATAGAACCTTAAATAAACTACCAGTGTTCCACAGCTTTAATTACACAGCCATCGGTCAGCCTCCTGCTTTTTTAAAAAAATACTTTTATACCAAAAGAGATTAATGAAAGAAATCTTAAACAACATACTTTATTAATTGATTACAAGTTTTCAGATCAAGCTAACATATTTTTTTGTACATTTTTAAATTCTAAAACATTTTGACTGATTAATAAAAATTCTTATATTTATTTTCTCATTAAATCCTACTTACAAAAATTCTAATGCAATGTTTTCCTTATTCATCGGCATAAAATAAAACTAGAACCATAACAACTTAACTCTTAATTAAGCTGATTTAAGCTTTTAACTGTTAATACTTATAGAGTTCAGATGATGTTATAAAATGTTATGACGCATTTTTTATCAGCTAATGCAAGTTCCTTATTTCTTCTGACATTAGAATCATATTTTTTATAAATGCCATAATAAAAAAAATTATAAATATTTTTTTATAAATTCATGTTTTAAAACTACAAGAATTACTTATATTTATGCAACATGTAAGCTTTTAAGACACAATAACACGCCAAATAAATACTAATTCAGAAGTCAAACAACAAAAATCAGCGTTATATTTACCAAATTTTCACAGGACTAGTTTCGATGGTTTTTTACCGAACCACCATCTTCTTCAGCTGCAAAAACCGCAAATGAACCAGATAGGAAATAATGATTAGATAAGATAAGAAAGCCTGGACAAGAATAAGCAAGTGGCGCCATCTGTTGGTAAAACCAGAACTAAAACATAATTTCTTTAAAGGCCGAAGGCAAATTTGGATTGGAATTAGGATCGTTAACTAGAACAGAAAGATTTTTATGAATGTGAAATGCCTCTAGAAAATCCAGTTTTCTCCAATGGAAGATGTTTTTTTTGAATAATTTTGGCAGCAGAAAAACTGAAAGTGTGGTTTTCGGATCAACAATGTTGAGCAACAGAAGACTTTTGTGTTTCCTTTTTTCTAACATATGTCTCATGTTCCTTGACGCGAAATTTTAAGGCTCTCTTAGTTTGGCCAATGTAAATTAAACCACACTGGCAAGGAATCCTATAAATACCCCAGGAATTCATATCCGGAATGGGGTCCTTGAGTATGGAACTCGGAATTTTATTGATGGGAGAATAAACAACCCGAAAGTTAAATTTCTGCAAAATATGTGCAACTTTATAGCTAATTGATGGAAAAAAGGGAATGACAACAGAATTTTTATAATCTCCTAAAGCAAGAGTGTGCCTTTTAGTGTGTTGAGATGAGAATTTTTTAACTGCTTGATTAATAATGTTGGGTGTGGAAATGCCCTGTGGAAATGTGGAAAGCCCCTGTCAATAGCTATTGCTTTTAAATAATTTAGTTCTTCATCAAGGGCTAGTTTGGAGGAGCAAACTTGAAGAGCACGGAAAACATAGGAATAAAATGAAGCTAACTTTTGTTTAGTCGGATGACATGATTTAAAGTGTGGTGGTAGGCAAACCGATGAAGGTTTACGGTAAACCGTAATACTGAAGTTGGATGTGTTACGTGTGACCAGAATGTCGAGAAACGGAAGAGAATTGCAAGTCTCAAGTTCAAAAGTTAACTGAATAGCAGGATCAATAGAATTCATTGTTGAAAGAACTTTATTTAAATCATCTTTATTACCTTCAAACAGAGTAAAAGTATCGTCTATGTAGCGGAACCATGCCGGGAAGTTTAAAGTTTCAAACAATTTTGATTCATAATAATGCATGTAGATATCAGCCAGGATGGGACTGAGGGGGCTTCCCATGGCTAATCCCTCAGTTTGCTTGTAATATTTATTTTGGAAAACAAAATGTGTTTGTTTCAAACAGAGTTGAGTGAGAGAAATTAGCTCATCAATTTCGATGCAAGAGAAATGAAATTCGCGAAGTCTGGTTTCTAGACATCTTAATGCACCCTCCACTGGGACATTGGTGCATAATGATTTTACATCAAAAG